CGTGTACATCATGTATGTACTTTAAAACTTTGTAAATTGGATGTAGAACTGCTATGTTCTGCTGCTATATTCATAGCAGTTCTGTATTTGATTTACAAATACTTATTTCCAACTGCTCTACCAACAAATTTCATACTTTAAAACTCTTGATCATTCCTTTAAAAAACAAACTCCAAGTCTCCGTTTTAAACTAGTATAAGTTAGTATTGTTGTACATTGTAAATTGTGTATGCCCGAAACAGAGGCGTTTACTGTACAGAACACTTTTCTCGGTTTCCTGTGTGTTTTGACTTGTGAAACGGTAGATCTACGGTAGAACGAAATCTAATTGTACCGCAGTTTTCTTTTGACAGCAAAAAAGATTTATGTAAAGCCGTTATATTTTACATAAACTGGTTAGGTTTCACAATAACGTATAATTTTCATTAAAACCACATTTTCTTCTTTTTCGATGAAGCATAACATGTTTGAGTGTACGCTTGCATTACTATAGATCAGTATCGAAATATCGTATCGATATATATTGGAAAGATGTAGACAAAGTTTTTTAAACTTTTTTATCATCACTTTGTCAATATTAAGACTACGAACTAAATAAATTCATTGATTGATGCATTCTTAAGCACAAGCAACTACGCATTATTCAAAACTCAGGTACAGTAAGCAATAAAAATATGCTAAGTAAGTAGTGAAATATAGGTCTTTTAGAGGTCTGGTTTATAGAGAGCAAACATGAAGGTATTTTAGAACGTTGTAAAATTCGCCATCGCAAAGAGTGCATATAAAAACCGATATGTTACGAAAAGCCCCGAAAAACGTAGATTTCGCCATCTACGTCACGTATCAACCATTGATACGTGACACGCCAGCTATAATCACACCACTTTGATTCCATGTAGATTGTGAAGACAAAAGACAGACTAAAAAAGGATCGACAAATTTATCGTAAGTCTGTCAAATCCAACATAACACGAATTCTCTATCGATTTCTTCAATAGCTCTTTATAAAAAACAGTAATAATAAATCCGTTTGTCTTTTTCTTCTTAAGAGTCATTACACGTAAGCCACGACCGACGTTCTTCAATCGATCTTTTCAAAACTTTTCCAAAGTAGGGGGCTCTTGTAGACAAAACATTTTAATGAACTTTTGTAAAAGGCGCAAACCAGAAAGTTGAGTAAATCGCGTAAAGTATCCTCTTCAAAATGGGAGCCAAGCGAGACTTTGATTTTGAATGATTTGGACGTGGTATGTGATTTCCATGGAGCACCAGAACTGGCACTCAGTGGCTTCCAGTAACCTGGAAAGAAGAAGAGAAGTACATAGTCGATCATACTAAATCTGATGGCAGCGTTTATTTTATTTTACTTTAGGACACTTTAGGTGATTTACTCATAACAAAACCAATCTACTGCTACTTTGTCGTTTAGAGTTACAAAACGGTTTTCTAGAGATCTCCTAGAAAACCGGTTGTTGAGAAATACTTTCAACTTTGCTTTAGTTAGAAAAACATAGTTTAAGGTCTTGGCTATCGAATCGCAAAAATCGGAAGTTTCTATCGCTCTTCGTTCTTGAGTTATTCAAAAATCACTCACCGGCATATAAAAATCCATCAGGAGGGAACCTGTTAGAAGACTCTCAGTGAAACTCGCACATAGGACCGCGTTAATAATGGAAATGAACTTGTTGTTGTATTACCACTGAATGTCTACTGAAAAGTTGCATATCAAACTGGTTTTTATTGAAATTTTAATATACTGTAGCAGAAATATACTGACTGAAGCAAGCCTCTAGAACTCGGTACCCCCGACCGAGCCCCCGAGGCCATTTTAGCGAAACCCACAAATCGCAGGATGGACTATGATGGTACACTTGGTGTACTTCAGTAGTATACTAAGGGGCTTCAGAATTGCCTCGTTTCGATGAAGAAAATCATTTCTAAAAATCGCTCAAAATGGTCATTCTTGGGCAAAATTGTAACTTTCAAGGCGTCTGTATTGAAAACGAAAGCACCGGAGACCGTCAGACTTTTACCAAATATACCCTGGCGTATAATCTATTTGGAAATATGGTTGAAAGTCTTACGGTCGACTTTGTTTTAGATGGGTGCTACAGCACAATTCAGACTTTTCTGGATTCGGGCTCTTAGTGCGTCATCTATTACAAAATAACGAAAGCATGTTTTGAGCTCGCGGTTGCATGGTTTTGTAGCTCACACTGTCTACTATTTATGAGGAAACCTCCAGGTTAAGTGACCTGTTGTTACTGAATTACAAGAGTTTAAAGTTGGCAAATTTTCAAGATGGCGGAATCTACGTTTTTCGGGGCTTTTCGTAACATATCAATATCTCAGCAACGATACAACTTTTTGGTTTGCGCCTTTTACAAAAGTTCATTAAAATGTTTTGTCTACAAGCAGGGGCGTTAAATAATACAATGTATATTGATGAGCAAACAAATTCTCGTGTCTTGAAATGTCCCGCAGGTAACTCTACAGGCACTATTTCTGCTGGTAATAATTCACTTGGATGTAATCTTAATCCGTTTAAAAATGTTGCTGGTCTAGCAATGGATAGTTTTGGTAACATGTATAGATCGGATTCTGGATGCGATTTAGTATTACAATTTCCTCCAAATTCAGATTCAACTACAAGTGGTACATTGAAAATGTCAGGTCATTCTAATCCGGAACATATTTATCTCGATCCATTGACAAATGATTTATACATGGCCATGAAACGTGAACATTCAGTACTAAAATTGGCATACAATAATAACACTCCTGTAATTCTAGCAGGTTAGTAGAACACACTAGTTGCGTCTGGAGTTGCGAGTAGTTGGAGTTCTATTTCTGTTTTCTTAATAGACACTTTATGAAATAAAGTGAAGAACCAACCTTGACGTGTACTGACAAACCGGACATCTTCATCCAGGAATAAAAGTTCCATCATTGTACAATCCGTTCTGTCT